AAAGGACAGTCGAGAGAGGATAATTAGTCCCTGCAGAATCATCCTGCATCCCCTAACTTCTGTTTCCTTGGGGTTGCGCGGAACGTCCGAGAAATCTTTTCTTAGGCTGGACGTTTTCGCATGCCACGACGTGAAATCACGTATCTTGTAGTCTTTATGAAAAAAACAAAAAATGAACGATGCGGCTCTAGCATAACAAACAAGGGCGCGAGAGCGCTGTCTCTAGGACGAGTAGAACGATGGTTAAGCTATGCGTTCTCGTTCGCGTACGCTTTCTAATCGTAATAATAGGAGTCTAGCCTTCGGTTTCTCGTGAGAGGCTGAAACTTCTTCCGGAAAATTCGACACGAAACATTCGGATTATTAGGTTATTTGAAAAATCTGCACACATTTTTCTATCCATTTTACTGCAAACGTAAATATGCAATAAAAGAAAATAAATCATTAATATAATTTCTGTTTCGATATTTTTTTTTCCATTGTTTCACCGATTGATCTATGAATAAAATTTAATAGATGTTTGCATTGAAAAAGATTGAAAAATGCAAAAGCTTTCGAAATAACCTAAAATTTTGTTGTCGAAAATGTCAAATTTTTGCTAATGAAACTCTGTAGAAAGCTAATAATAGCTCAGTATTTTTGCAATTTGATATTAATTTGTAAATGCTTCCCCAACAATGAGATATTTTTCGTTTTTTTTGTAAATGGAAAACTAATAAAATCTGCATCATTTAATAAGTTAGAATTTTCGGAAGTCGAACTTTTAATTCGCAAAGCTGATTATACGCTTAATCGTAACGATGGAGATCAATTTTTAACTTTTGTATAAAAACGAAGACTAAACATTTTTACACGCGTTTTTATAAGAGTCATATTAAATCGTAATCTTATTAAATAATTTATTATTCTCTTAGTAGTTATATCAAAATAGTTTATTGTTCTGAAAATACGATAAGAGTTAATCAACATTGAGAGAGTTGCTTTTAACTGCTCTATTTGCCGATCTTGCTTGTAAAGTCAAAGCTTTTAAACGAGATTCACTTCTCGAGTCGTTTATCGTTATCAAAATCGAATTTTTTCAATCCGATACAAGCTGCCTCTAAACCGAGAAACGACGAAGACTAGGACTTTAACCTCAGAATGCTATTTGTACGTTTCTGAGATGTATACGTTCCTATTTGTCTTCTCTCTTCTGATATAGGTCGAAAAAGTTTCAACTTCTCTCATTTTCCAAAAGTCAGATTTTCTGACAGTTTTACAGTCGTGACTTGCTCATGACACTTGATAATTAGATTGATTCAGTGCACATAATTCTGCGTAATTTTTCTTTGAGAGGGTCTTCATGTGCTCACAGATAACTGTGTGGAAAAGAAGTAGGAGAAAAAAATTATTAACGTCCCAGCGCAATCTCTGTCAATTATCTGTATCTTCCGATATCGCGCGAAGAACCGGAGCTTTTCGGGGGTGACTTTACGACGCATTTATCGTCGCCGATAACCCTGGTTCACCGAGTCGTTCTTTCACTCGCGATTTAGCGATGTTACTCGGGGCAGCGTACTCGCCTTAGAATCCGACTCGCGCCGCCGATGCATCGATCCGCACCACCCTCTACCTGACTTTACGCCTCCGTAACGTAGGTATCGTACCTACTTACCCGCTTAGGCGTACCGCGTAAGATCGCGCTCTATACACCGCGACCTTCCCCTGTGCTTGAACATTTGTACAACTTGTTTCTTTCCTCGGGACGAGAAATAAGGAAAAAAAGCAAGGTTTACCACTACGATGTTTACTGCTCGCGGTGTTATCCTTGCTGAAGTACATCTCGCCAACAACGCTTTGATTTTTTGTTTTCCTCCTAGAAAAAATTGCACAATAGAAAATTAAAAATGATTTTGTACTCAATTTTTTGATAAAAGTAACGATAAATTGCAAAAGTCTCCTCTCATCGTGGTTTTGCGATGTATGTACGGTTAATTATTTCAGACAAATATTTGCGAATAAATATTTGCAAGTATTACGCGAAAACGCAATGTCTATAGCCAGTCTATAGTCATAAAAATCTATTACACACGCTTTACAAATTTGTTATGTATTTTCGACAGAGAGATATTTACATTTCTTCAATTTCTTTTCGATGTACACTGTACACGTGAGCGAGTTCAAGGAAATTGTGCGTCTTACGCAAACACAAACAGTCTTATAACAGCATACATTTAGTTTACTTTGCTTTTAATAATATGAAAATGTGGAAAGTCAAAGTGGATATAAATTTTCGTGGCGTATATTAATCACGTAACATTGAGTAGCGAAGAAAGTTCATACAAATTTGGTGGAAAATAAAATATCAAACACCGGCTCTATTTCAATCCTTCATGTTTGATATTTAAAAATATCTGATATTTCACGGTGAAAAACGATTCGCATTTTGCACTCGAATGCCGACATATTTTCGGAATAAACTGATTTTGCCAGGTGATAACATGCGAGGTTTGCACTAGTCATTTATCAGTTATTTTGCGTAAAAAAACTTTGGCCTGTGTTGCACACACATTATATTGCCTCCACTTTTACAAGTTTGCACAACATGAAAGAACTTTTCTTTATTTGTGAAAGAGGAACGTCCCGTACAGCTGTAAACGCAAAATTTTTTCTCGCATTCACACGCTATTTTATATATGCAAAGAAATAAATTTTTAAACGCATTCAAAAGATAGGATCGAGTGTTTTGCAAACAGCTTCGAAATATGTTGCGATAAAGGAATATTTGCGACAGGACAAACGACCCGTTATGACACTGAAACCTGACAAAGAAAGAGAGAGAGAGTGTGCCGACATAAGTACTATTCATAAAAGTATTCGCAAAAGTCAGTCGCGGTTTGAAAGCAGGGTCGTCGCATAAACATACGTATCCTATTTTCAAAGCAGATTACATAATGTTGACATAATATCGCGGTGAGAGATTAGACGTCCCGTTGTGTGTGTGTGTATCGCGAATATTCAGAATGCCTATCTGAAATTAAATGTTTATTGAATGATTATTGCACAGCACAATATGAATGGAAAAAAATGTCGAGGCAGATATTTGTTGCGGAAGTAGAATCATAAAACTTTCCATTGTGCGACTGTGACAAAAATGTATCTTCGGCGAGAAGAAGAAACAGAAAGAAGAAGAGAAAAGGAAGAAATTGGAAAACCTTTACATCTCTTTTTGACAGTACTATTGTGGCTGCTTCTATTGTGGCTAATTTCCTGTTGGAACGGAGATCTGTAGTTTATTTCCGAATGAAACAGAAGGGTGGCTGAAAAGTAACACAACGCGTACGTTCTTTATCGCATACTTATCTCCATCTCGTTGTCTCATAGTTTTTCATAATATCGGACGCGAGAGAAAACTTTCTCGGCACCGGAGCGTAAATCGCCACTGTTCTTCTCCCCTCGTATACCCGGCGGCGCATCTCCGTAACGGATAACCCCGTCGATGCGCGCCTTCATCTATGTCCGCCCGGGTGACCCGATAGCTCGCGACGCGTCGAGTGTAAACTTCGTTACTTGAGGAGCGGCTGTCCACTCTATCTCACGAGGTTTTCGCAATGATATTCCGTGCTTGATCTGCGTGGCCTCTTTTATCGTCCGCTCATTTATTACGACCAATAACGCTTAATGCAATTGTAATAAATGCAATAACGCAATAGTAAATTTCCAACGGTCGCCAGAAAAAAGATTATGAAGCAGTTCCTTTACACAAGTGTCAGAAATGATAATTACGTTGCTTTTCACAGCGATACTGTAACTGAAAATAGATATTTCAAATTAAATTTTATTCGCGATAATTTTAGGTTTTTCGTTAGCAGCCTGACATTTAGGAAAAAAACTTGACTGCAATTAATTATCGAATTTCAATCGAGGAATTATTTTAATGTAAAATGTAAATTTATATATGCGTCGGATTTTTTATTTGCTCTACAAATATTGAATATTTCTGGATAAATTTTCATTGACAGCTTAAATGAATTGAAGAGTTAGTTTCCTTTTCAAACGTTATGCAAATGTCATTCATTATTAAAGGTATCATTCATCACTACACATGTCAGA